AGAGAGGTAAAAGTTAGGAATAGGATAATAAATGTTAGTGAAATCTGGGTGGAAACAGGAATCCTAGTGCTGCTGGCTGGGATGGAAACAGGAATGGCCATTCTGAAGAGTTAACTGTCACTACTTATATTAGGAAAAAAATACATATTTGTAGGTATATATACACATATATATGTATGCATATGTAAATTATATATATATTTTTTCTCTATTTGGTGACCTCTCGGTCCCACTCAAGTTTATATCCCAGAAAATATTCTCACAGATCCACAAATTGTCACATATGAGGATGTTCATAAGAGGTGGTATGTGATAAAAGTGACTTAGGAGCAACCTAGGTCCAATCAATAGGAGAATGTATAAATAAAATGTAGCCAATGCATGTTATTTAGGATTCCATACAGCAGTTTAGAAGCAATGCACTACATGTACATAGAGCAATATGAATAGATCTTTAAAATGTTGTATTGAATGACCAAAGCGATGCACATATTAACACAGTTTTCAAAGATATGTGCATCTCTGAGGATGTAAACAAATTGGAGTGGCTATTAGAGTGACTGTCTATTAGTGGAGTGGGCCTTGGGTTTGAAAGGGAAAAAAATTAAGAAAAACACAAGACAGACGACCTGCATAAAGCCAGGGACCAATAATATAATGAACACAGCTGTGCTTCTGGAGTCCAACAGGGAAAATAAAATCCCAAATCCCAGTTGTCTAATTGTTCATAAAAATTATCCCATAATCTCCAAACATAGGATGTTTACACACAAACACCCTGAAAGAGCAAAGTCAGGCAAAACTGTTTTTAAAGGCTTATCTGGAAGGGTTTGTTTTTTATGTCTAATTACTAGTCAAATCAATTAAGATAGTTGGGCTGGTTTATGCTTTTATTTTCCTCTTTTCCTCATACAGATTTCTCTGCATAGTCAGCACCCACCCCATCACACAGCTTTAGAGGATCAATAATATCAAATACCGAAAACTAACTTGCAGAACTAAAATATAATTCCAATTAATTTAGTCAAAACATATCCACTCCATGTATCGAAACTTTTTTGCACAGGTTAATTGGAGAATCAAGCAATTAAGCAGCAATTTTGATTAGTGGATTGCGACCATGAAATTAAACTCCAAACTTCTCCTTTTGCTCAATGGCAAAATTCTCATCTGAAGTGTCAAGAAGATGTTTCATCTAAATTATTGAAAGAGAAAGCACAGTTACCAAGCAGAATTCATTAACTTCCCACAAAAGTAAAAAAATATAATGGTTAGCTAGAGTATTGCCACTCTCCAAAACAGTCCCATTAAAAATATCCAAATGTTAATAGTTAATATTTATTAAGAGCTTACTAGGTTCCATGCAATAGCTAAGCATCTCCCATGTACCTTAGAAGGCGATTGCCATTATTGTTTTTTCAGATGAGGCAATTTTGTGATGGCAAATAAAAATGGGTGGGGTAGGAATCTCCTTTGGTGTTTTTGTGTGAGTTTTTCTCCATTTGTATCACTGAAGTAGTCTTTGAAGTATCAAAGCTTTCACCCAAAAGAGAATTTCTCACTAAAAAGGATACAGATCTCGAGCGTGATGGACAGAAGAGCCCCAGAGTTGCTGAATAAACAGTTGGCAAACCCAACCTTGGAGGAAAAGTTAGGGAAACTGAAAAGATTCATTTTGGAGAGGAGAACGTTTCACGAAGGTACCAATTGTACCCATTTTCACTGAAGACAGACATGAAGAAATGGATTTAAACAGAGGCCTAAACATCTTAGATGTGTTGGAATTAAAAAAAAGGTTTTGATGATGATAATTAAATATTGGTTACTGAGAGAATTGTGGAATTTTCTTCTATAGAGACATTTAAAAGTAGGACTTCTAACTATAATGTTAATATATAGTTGAAGTGAGATCCTTTAAAAGATAGATATATAAATTAAGGTGCTAGACATATTAGCTGAAGTGTTGATTTTGATTTTATTTAAAAACAAAACCAAAAAGATAATTTTGGACTTAAAATGCAGCAACAAAAAAATCAAAACACATTCCACTCTGGAATTTTGCTAATATCTTATATTCATTTACTC